GAAGTCAGCTCAAGCTAATACATTTAGTTAATAAAAAGAATGTAATAAGAAAACAAATAGTTGATTGAATTGAAGATTTTGGATAAATGAAGGAATTTTAGATTAGATGATTTTGATAAATTTTCCAAATAATTAGCCCATTTTGTCAATTTTTTTCTAGCCAATCAATCCACCGTATTATATGTTACTATTCTTTGCTCTTTGGAGCCAAATATGTCCACTTTAAGAAAAAGAGTATTTCCATGTAAAAATCAGTCCTTTTGTTAGATTTTTTCCCCCACTTCAATTGTCCAAATTGATCATGTCAACCATGTTGAGAGACAGTAATACTGTTCATTAATTTAGGGGTATGTGAGTGGTGCAGTTAAGACATGCAGCTGCTAATCAAAATATTGTAGATTCGAGTCCATTCAAAGGCACCTGGAAAGACAGGCCTGGTAATCTACTTCCAAAAATTCAGTCATTAAGAACACTGTGGAGTACAGTTCCTCACATAGAGTCACCATGAGTTGGAATTAACTCCACAGCAACTGGTTACTATCAGTGTTATACAGACTGGCAAGTGATGAGAGCAGTACTTGAATACATTTGTATGCACCTGTTACCACTTCAGCTTTGTTCACCTTTAATTGCTGATCTCATCCCTTTCAGCATTAGACTATATAATTCATATTGGCAGGGAGGTCTCCTTCAACATACTGGAAAGGGGAAAAATAATTAAGTCAATCAATAAAATAATGGAACAAGAAAACTTCACAAGGCTGGCTACAGCACTGGTATTAGGAATTCTGAAGAAAAGAATTTGTCCAAAGAACTTCCTGACCTCGGTGAAACTTGAAGAACAACAAAGCCAAGGCTGTGACTATCCATCCCTGCTTGGAGGAAAGTGACTGAATTAGGGAGCAGAGAAATGGGTTATGTTCTGTGGGGAGTAGAAAGGCAGGTGATCAATAGCTTTCCTTTACAAGGCCTAGGTAGAAACTCTGTAATCTGTCAATATTTTCTTGCTTATGCTCATCCAGAGATGCTCTGATTGCTGATCCAGCTTTCCTGCCCCATTCCAAAGACAGAAGTCACCTTCATTGTGATAACAGAAAAGGATATCCTAATGTACCCCAGGCCTCCAGTTAGCAAGAAATCTCACAGAGCGTTTGATTGTTGCTGAGTTCATTAATAAATAAATACTAGTTTCTGGACCTATACATTTCAGTGCCAAAATACAAAGGAAACAGGTACATGTGTTATTTTCTTCATGAGATAGCTGATCTTAACCAGGCAGCCTCTATTCTCTGACAAATATGCAGAGCCAAGCCTAGGTACATGGACTTTTTCTTCCTCTTCAAATTTTTATCTGCCTAGTTTTAAATATTAAAGATTCTCTATGGCCCATTCCCAATTTACTTTTTTACTATTATCCTCTAATTTCTCCACAAATTATGTCAATTGCTCACTTTTTCCCCCTACTAACCTTTGGCTTTTCTTGTAAGCTTGAGGAAAGCTGACGTGATCGTAAATAAAATAAGCACTAAAACCAGGAACACAGCCAGCCCCACAATCCAGGGATTGTTCCTAGGAAACAGAGCATCTGAAAAACAAGGATTGTCTCACTTGAGATTCAGCTTGATGCCAGGTGACTTGCCTGATCAGAATAAATGCCCAGGTGTTTGCTACCAGGATATATTATTAGAATGATAGAGATTCTTAGCCTCATAGCCCTTCCTGAAATTCTAAGGAATCTAGAATCCTGAAAGAATTCTGTTTATGCTTATTCTCAATGAGCAGAGACTCAGAGGCTGATTTAAAATATTTAAACTTGCTGAAAATATGAATATAATGCAACCCACCATCCAAATTTAACAAATGTTACTTTATCATTATATTTGCAACACATAATTCTTTTTTAATAAATAAAATAAAGGTTTTCCATCCATCTATCCATTTTTCCTCCCTCCCTCTAAATGTTCTCTTACTTCAAGTTGCCCTGTGTGTTTTCTATCCATCTACTTTTTATATATACAGGCATATAAGCCTAATAATATAAAGATGAGAGAGAAGTATGTGAAGTGCCTCTAAAATTAAATGAGGGATTTGTATGGTTTGGGATGATAAGCCAAACAGATCTTATGACCCAGGACCCAGAGACATAATTCTAGGTCAACGCAAAGATCCTTCTGTGATGTCCAGACATTACCAATTTAAGTAGTATTGGCTATGGTGCCAATATTTTTCTATTTAATAATGTTTGTTCCGAAAGGCCATCAAGGACACTCTCACTCAAAATTTCAAAACCATACTTGTAAATTATTAAGTAATTGTTAATTAATTAATTGCAAAGTAACTGTTTCAAATGATATAGATATGAGAAGCAATCTCTTTTTTCTATTCATCTTCTAGATTCTAATCATCTTCTAGATGGTTTTCAATTATTATTACTTTATTGTATTCTTCTTTCTCAGTTTCAAGTCATTATTCCCTATTAAGTATTCCTTAACTTCTTTCATAAGTTTGCAAGTGTATGTAGGAGGCTTGGTTATTTTCCCCTTTCTTGCTTTTCTTTCTTATGGCTGTAATTTTTAAAAAATCTCTACTTCTCTGGCTTTTGCTCTTCTCTCCTTCATATTTCCAATTTCAAGTTCTCTCTTTCTAATCATCTTAAACAAGTACAAATTTCCAAACTGAAATACATGAGAAATGACATTTTACTTGATAAAACGTCAAAGAGACATTTATTTATTAATCCATTATACAAAAATGTATTGTGGACTCAGTGTTTTGCTAAGTAATGGGGGTATGAAAGAAAGAAGAAATAGTATCCTCAAAGGATTTAGACTCTACCTGAATATATAGTGAATTGTATAATCAATATGCTGGAGGAAAAAGGGGAACTTAACACAGACTAAGGAGCTCTGGTAGCATAGTGGCTAA